TTAAATATTATCAGCTTTCAAAAACTATTATTTATAGTTTTTTCGCCACTCCCCGTTACCTTCTATATTAGATATATTTTTTTTTAAATTATCCTCTTTTCAACGACACATTATACGTATACCTTCTGACTGCTATATCCGAAGATTCATTTTCGACCTGGATAAGCTTTTTTTTCTCTTTTATTAAACTATCAAATTCTTTCAAAAGTTATAATTAGCATTTTTTCGTAACTAAAAATAATGAGAGATACTTAATTATTTAAAAATTATCAAGTACGTTGTAAAACCTGTAAGCTGTACGTTTGTAAAACCTGGGCTCTAACCGGCACACTAAAATTGAGAGAATTGAGAGATTCGAAAGAAAAGTTCTAGGATAACAGGACCTATATGGGACCAGAACCTTGACACATGGAGGAAAAGGAACAATAAAGAACTGCTGAAAGAAACGGGTCAGTCAATATCTCATGGCATGAATGCAAGGAGATTAAGATGGGCAGGGCATGTAGGGGGATCTACAAGGTCTGTAGGGCCAACCGAAAAAAAAAAATAGACACACACACACACACATATATATATATATATATATATATATATATATATATATATATATGCATGTATAACAAAATGAGGAGGAAAACAAATATTTATATATACACAAGTTAGCTGAGTATAAAAACCATAAACAATAATAGGAACTGTGATCTCGAGAAAAGTCTCAATTCGGGTTACGAGAAATCAAGTTTCTAGGACACGTGGTCTCACGGAACGGGGTACAGCCGGACCCGCAGCGGGTAAAGGCCATCCTGGAAGCACCCTTACCTAAGAACGCCCGTGGGGTCAGGCGATTTTTGGGTATGATAAATTACTATCGAAAGTTTATACCCGGAATAGCGGAACTCACGCATCCATTGACCGAAACATTGAAAAAAGGGAGACGGTTTCAATTAGGTCCAGACCAGCTAGCGTGCATTAAGAAATGCCGGGAGATTTTGACCACTCGGCCACTACTAGCTTTCCCCGATTTCGCTAAAATGTTCGAAATCACCACAGACGCCAGCGAGGTAGCTATCGGGGCCGTTCTCTCTCAGAATTTCGAAGGTGGCGAGAAACCACTAGCATACGCGGGGCGGAAGTTGAATGAAGCAGAACAACGTTATAGTGCAATCGAGCGCGAGCTTTTGGCGGTAGTATGGGCTGTGGAATACTTCCGACCATACGTTTACGGGAGACGGTTTCAGTTACTGACCGATCATAAGCCTTTATTGCACCTCGGAACTCTTAAAGAATCTTCTGCACGGGTATCACGGTGGAAGGAGCGTCTAGCGGTTTACGACTTTCACGTAATACATAAAAAGGGCGTCGACAACGCGGTCGCCGATTGGTTGTCACGGGACCTAGTAGTAAATGCGATCGAGGACGAGGAGGTCCCGACAGAGCCATTCGCGCTACGATATCTACGCGAGTGGGCGGAAGGCGGACCAGAGATTCCTCCCCAGAGTGAGGCCGAGAAAATTGCTACACCGACGGACAGACCCGCGGAACTGCCCGAAGTAGACGAAATCATTAACAATAAAAGACTACAGATCATTATAAAATCAAAGCAGGACTCCGGAATAGAAACCAGGGCGAGCACGTATGAAGGTTCGTCAACTATATTAGTTCGCACCCCCGCATCTATAGATGAAAACGCGTTAGAACGTATATTCGTGGAATTCAGTAACCCAGGACGGAATTGCTATGTCTATGTGGGTAATCGGATGATTGCGGAGAAATTGAAGCGGTTATGGCGCCAGGAAAGGATAGGAATGGGGTACTCGCTAGTGCGGTGTTTACGTCAGGCAGAAACGATTACAGAACCAGCGGCACAACAGAATCTAGTAACGGAACACCATTCTGGGAAAACAAATCACCGGGGAGTAGAGGAGACTCTTCGTGCATTGAAATTGCTCTATTATTGGAAAGGTATGGGCCGTACCGTACGGGACTGCGTGGCGCAGTGCGAGGTGTGCCAAAGAGCAAAGTACGATCGTCAACCTCCGGTAGCCGAACAAGTAATCACCCCTACCGCTACAGAACCCCTGCGATCCATACAGGTAGACGTTTATTCCAACGAGGGGCAATCATGGGTAACGGCGATATACCCGTTCAGTAAAATTGCTATGGCCTATCCCATTGAGTCAAAAACCCCTGGGGCAGTTTGGGAAGGGATCTTGCAATGGTGCTCATTTTACGGTGTCCCAGACGAAATCGTCTCAGATTGCGGGAGAGAGTTCGATAACTCGCTAATTCGAGATGAGAGCAAGATATTGGGCATCAATTGGCGTTTGAACACCCCACATCATATTAAGGGAAGGAGCGCCGTGGAACGGCTTCACAATACTTTAGGGGAACACTTACGGTTGCTCAAGTTAGGTCGTGACCTCGATCCATTCGATGCTATGCCACGTGCTGTCATAGCCTACAATAATACCATTCATGCCGCGACGGGATTATCACCAGTCGAAATAGTGTTCGGACAGAGGCCCCGGGATAGAAGAGATCTCATCACGGCTAACAATAACGACCTTAAAGCTAGCATGTATCAGGCAAGAGTAGGGCGGCAAACAATGTGGGCGAAAGTACGCGAAAAATTAATTCGTGAGAAGCAAACCCGGGTGGCTAAGGCAAATAACCGTCCCATAGTTTATAGAAAGGGCCCGTTAGCGCTGGGAACCATAGTGTATAGACGATTACGCACCGCTCGCACTAAAACAGCCACGAGGTATGACGGACCTTATAAAGTCATCACCATACGGGAGAATAACCTATTTACTATCAGGGATGTAAATTACCTGTTTCGGTCACGTACGGTACACCTTGAAGAGCTTCGGGTACCTCAGATCATGCCAGAAAACGAGTCGGACGGCGGCGCCCAGCCTGGACCATCTCAGGGCTAGGAAGTTTTTCTTTTCGTACTTTCCATTTTTTTTTAATGTTTTTAGCGATATTGAGTAATTTCTGTTAAATAGCATTATACAAGTAGAGTGAAAAATGTTTTTTTTGTTTGTTGTTAAAATCCATTGTAGATAGGTTAAGTTATTATATATTAGGATATCTGTATTTTTTTTTTTTTAGGTATAAGTATGTTAAGCAAGTGAATCTGCTACTTAGTGTATTATTATTTTTTCTTCTTCTGCTCTGCTGAAAGTGTTTGAGTTTGTGTTTTATGTTCTATTTTTTTTTATTATTATAAGTTCCTCCATACGAAGGAACTGGAGGGAGGGAGTTAGCTGAGTATAAACCATAAACAATAATAGGAACTGTGTTACTAATAAGATTAACAAAGCATTGTAAATGAAAACAAACCGTATCTATATATATTGGATAAAGTAGATAATAGAGTTAGTTGCTCACGAACCTGTGTACTGTTACTATGCCCTAAAACCCTTTTTTTTTTCGATCAGTCTTTCAGTCGAATCGTAAGTCACATATATCTAATGTGAGAGTTCTCACAGGGGTATATCAGTTATTAATTACTAAATTGCTAATCTAATTTGCTAGCTCTGAGTGGTAATATCGGTGTTCATAAACTAAATATTGGTGACTCGTTCAGTTATTACATTGACTGTGAGGCAGGTAGTAGTTAATTAGTAATCGATGAGCAAACAGGCTGATTAATCATAGCTAGATCTGAATCAATCGTGAAGCCTAAACAGGAATGTCATTGGGAAACAGTAAAGAGAGGCAGGATGATAGGCAGATGACGGAGATTGGGGGAAGGATATTGCAATCAGGCGGGACATTGAGGCACTATGGGCGGTTCTGTATGCAGGTGTTTGGTCAATTTATTAGAAACGTGGTCATCAACGATATTAGTTCCAGTATTAGCCGTTCTGTTTAGGAGTCAATGCCTGCCTGATCGATCACCGTCCATGTATCTCTCATCGGGAGCAGCCCATCAGCTATTGTTCTACCTGGTACACTGATTGTGTATTCTAACTCAACTAATCCGACACATTACCAATACTCTATTAACTACGAATAATCATACTGAAACTTAATTAACGTGACCAATCCTGTTATGGATTAGAGCATAATTGATACATATATTTAAAAAAAAATTATAAAGTTCGAATTTAAAATTTGTAAATTTATTATATTATTATTTTTTTTTTCATTTCTTTATGACATTTACAACTGTATTACATAAATACATCAAGTAAATTTGGACATAGTTGATATAATGAATGACATGAATACACTTGCTGAGTAACTACCCAATGGTAGCACTCTAATGATATGACTACATTAGGAGATCACGGGGCCATCTTCTTTTCAGACGCCTCGGAGGGTTATCAGGAATTGAAGAGGAAGCAAGGTTAGAAACGAGAGGGTTGGGATGATTCTAAAGTTTATTATGGAAGGATAGGTATCTGGATTGGGCCAGATCTGAAACATAAGGAACATTAAGAATTATATTATAATGCCGTAAATTCAATATCCGTACAAATGTTGTTACCGCCATTGATATTTGATGTCTGTAACCGTATAAGGCTCTATTTTTATGGAGAATTCTCCCAAGACGCAGAAATTTCTATTCTATTCTATTTAAATGTGCCAAAGCAACAGAAATTAGCTTACGACGCTCGCTTGGAAAACGTTCCCCAAAGGGATGTTTGTTGTTTCATCTACTACATTCATTTAATCAAGAATATAACTGTTTCATTACAGTTATACCGGAATACAAGTTAACCGTCTTCCTCGTGTGGTAGATAATAAGTACATCAATATATATATAGTTGTACATAATCATTGGTATTTTAAACAATTACCCATTAACCCATCCTGTTCTACACAGTGCAGCATATTTAGGGCAGTTATAGCATAGACCACAAAACGTCTTGTGCCTATATCTAGTAAACTCACTTATTGACTCCAAAGCTAGGAAAAGTAAATGGTGAACACAGTGGAGATTGAATGAGTAAACTAAACGCAGCGAGCTGGGTCGAAAAGAACCCCTCCTATTCAGCTGCAAATACTCGAGTAGATTTCCCTTTAGCGTGGTCCACTTCTGCTCTCCATTGTCCTCTTGTACACACTCTTTCTTCTCTTTCTTCCTCTTGGTAATTCACCTCCTCTATTTTCTTACTCACCCCTCGCCCACCATCCACTTCTCTCCCCTTCCGTTTACTCCTCAAAAGTTTGACTGATCGTGATTCATGGCCTCCCTGGCTCCCTCTGACAGTTATTAATATTTGACTAACCCTGCATTGAAAGGGACTATGAGCTCCATTTACCTATTGTGACAGTATATGTAATGGTCGTGCTAACTTTACTTTTTTTATTTTTTTTTTCCCTGCAATTTTACGTCAATAATTCTAAATCGATGGGGGAAGCTTAAGAGAAGAACGAAGGGGAGCAATTTTCGGTAATATTGAAGAAAATTATTAGACACCTGGTGATTGATTTACAAAACTAATTGTGGTATATCATTTAATCTTTCGATAAGGAAATATTTAGATTAATTTTGGCTAGAGGATCTATAATTAGAATATTTGATTATAGATCCACTAGATTATTAAAATTCAGATAAAATGTGTCACACTGGCAAAATGAATCATTGTGCTGTGGTGGCAAGTTAAAAATCTAGTTCTGACACAATTTGTTTTGAAACCGATTGAATCCATTTAAAAAAAAAATACAAAAAACAAATAAATTAACTTAGTAGTGAGCGAAATGTGGGAAACCTGAACACCGGGTCATCCACCTATTTATTAAGTTTGGAAGCTTCTAAAAAAGCGAAAAAGATGTTGGAATTTAAATCTTTTCAAAAATTCTTTCTCTAATATTTTAGCAAAGGAAATCAAAACCTGTACCAATACAATCTATACTGGGTCTTGGATTCAGTATTTTGTAAGGAAGTACTGTTTCAAGGCTAATGGTTCTGTAGGGAGATGATTGGGACAGGATCACAATAACCGCCAGAGTTTCATAAGCCGAATGATCTATGATTTATTTCAAAGTATCTGGTCTCTTGTGCAAATAACATTGCGGAAATCGTTTGAATTGGCAATGATCGTAAAAGACTCAATAAATTTTCTTTTAAATCTTATTACTTCTACTATTACCGGTTATAATATATAAAAGATTAATGGGTCTTACTACTATTAATGGGTTAATACTATTAATGGGTCTTACTAATATCCTCAAAGAATTTGCCACTTTTTATCGACCCTTGGTGTAGTCAATTGGGAACTTGTAAAAAATAAAATAAAATCGTATTGTGAAAATATGTATGAAATCAATCCTCTGATTGATCTCACAATTTGATTCCATTCAGATATTCAATCTTTTTTCTCTGTATTATAGCGTAAAAGTATAATATTTAATATACCATAATTGTGGTAAGCCATGAACAGCATTTCATGCTCTATTGCGACATATTTGAATCTCTTAACGTAATTATGTTGTTCTATGAAAATATGATTTATTTTTGTTTTTCTTATCCTTTATATTAGGATGAGACTATTTCGAAAAATGGAGATTTGTAAAAAAAATTATATTGTATAAATTTTATCGGATTCCATCCACTAAATCCTCTTGCATATGGGCAAAAGGATTCCCCTTGATAAGCCATTATCTCAAAAACTGCAGTCAAAGTTGGTGCAAAGCCGAAGGGATGTTAGGTATTATTGAAAAAACGTCTGATTTCTTACCATTCACATAAGTGCTTATACTTCAAGGTCTATGATTCGTAGTTTGAGAAATCTACGGGAGAAGTCGTTTCTGAACTATACGACTTAAGTCTATATATATATTTCTTCATATAGACTGCTTTATATAAACACTAATCAAATTCATCAATTTCTTTATATAATAATCATTAAAAATTTGAAGATGGTTTAATACAAAAATACTTTACCTCTTATTTTATCTAGAATATTTCGAAATATAATTTTTTTTTTTATTTATTTGTTAGATATACATAATTCTGGCTCACAATAAATTTGCCATCTACATCGGTATTCAGCAAATATGATATCAAGGACAAGAAATGATAGCATAAGAAAAAAAAATAATAGTAATAACAAAACAAAAAGACAAAAAAAAAACGGACAAAAAAAAAGAACAGTAGTAAAATAACACATACAGATTAACAGATTACAAAAAAAAGATAATGCAGCAAGTAGCTCAATGCAATAAGTCTCTTGGCCAGCGCCTCAGCAGTCTTCTGAGCGGATTATATGGATTTGCGGCAGTAGATAGAGCTTGAGTAAGTGGATTGGAATTTAGAGTCAGTCTGTCATGAAAATTATTAAAGCGGTCAGTGGCAGTTGCCGTGATGAAAGGAGTGTTAAGGTCAGTGTGTAACGTGAGGTTTGAAACATAAAAGGGTGCGTCTACAATTTTCCGAAGGACTTTTGACTGGAATGACTGGATGATTTTTATATTTGATTTCTTCGCTGTTCCCCATAGTTCGATTCCATATGTCCAAAGTGGTTTAATGAGGACTTTCTAAATTGTTAATTTATTAGTCACAGATAATTTAGAACGTCTGTCAAGTAGCCTAGAAAGAAGTCCGTATCGCTGATTAAGTTCTTTTCTTTTTTCTTTTATGTGGTATGTCCATGTGAGTCGTTTGTCCAAGTAGAGACCCAAATATTGTACAGTTTTTGAAGGTGGTAGAGCGATATTATTAAAAAACACTGGAGGACAAGAGTCATGTTTAAGTGTAAATGAAACAAATTGGCTCTTAGACTCGTTCATTTTTATTCTCAACCTTTTAGCCCAACAAGCTATGTCGTCTAGGTGTTCTTGAATCTGAGAAGCCTTAGCTGCATCCTTGTTAGATGTTAATATTGCCGAGTCATCATTAAATGTAGCCAACAGTGTTTCATAATGTTGTGGGATGTCTGAACAGTAAATGTTGAAAAGTGTTGGACCCAAGACACTCCCTTGAGGTACTCCTGCTTTTATTTGTTTGATGGCAGAAAACTCAGTCCCCATTTTCAAACGGAAAAATCTATCTTTTAGATATGATTGTAAAATCAAGTAATACGTCGGAGGAATAATCGTTTTTAATTTATGTAACAAGCTATCGTGCCATATTCTATCAAAAGCCTGACTCATGTCAAGAAAAACGCCAGGACAGTACAATTTTGATTCTAGGGAGAAAGATGTGTAATCTACAAGGCGGTAACATTGCTGAATAATCGAATGATGCTGTTTGAACCCGTACTGGAAATTTGGAATGACATCAAATAGTTTAAGTGAATTTAAACGCCGAAACAGAATTTTTTCGAATACTTGTGGTATACAAGGTTTCATTAGGTGGGCAATAGACAGCAGCGACAAACAACTCAAAAGGAAAAACTTTTAGAACAACGGAGGTACTCTGCAGACACTCACTTGCCTCAGAAGAGTTAAAGTAGTGACTAATAGACTTTTTAACTAGAATGAGTGTGCCACCTTTAGCACAGTCTGATGGATGGTCAGTCCTGAAAGTGTTGTAAGCTGGTATTGAAAATTTAATTTGGCTTCTCAAGTGTGTTTCGGTCAAGAGTGCTACATCTATTTCCTTGTCACTAAGAAATAATTCTAGTTCATTTCTGTGCGCAAGTACGCCATTTGAATTCCATAGAAGAATTTTTAACCTTTTCATGACGTAAGCTTGGGCAGGAGGTGCTGCATTAGGATGGTAAGTAATGAAATTAATGGAGTCACAAGGTTTTTAAATTCATTAATGAAGTCAGTAAGTTGTGTTGTGATGTCAGGTTGTTTTGTGTTATCGGGAACAGCATTAGTTAATGATATATTTTCAGTTGTAGTGATAATTTGTGTAGATGTAGTGTGTGTTGGCATAATGTGAAAATATGATGGCATTGTTTGGTCTATTTGTATTATCTGAGGCGGTGGTACAAGAGACCTTTCCAGCGAAGCTGCATTCCTGTGTGGCTCTTCTGATTTCAGAGGTCCTTCAGACCTAGCATAAAATCTTGGACTTCTAACCGGTGGGTGTTGCCTGAGTTGTTTCAATTCTTGGTAAACGATACAGCCTCTGTAGTTGGCCGGGTGGGCTTCATTGCAAAGAGCACACTTTGGTAGTACATCTTGAGATTTCTTACAGCTGTCAAAGAGGTGTGAACCTGCGCATTTGACACACCGCGGTTTATGGTTGCAGTAGGATTTTGTGTGACCATTTGTCTAATATAAATATTGTAGTGAAAATATTTTATCACAGTTTTAATTTTTTTTCAGGTCAACAAAGAACATGGGAAGCGGTACTTTGGTTCTTGGGTGAATAATATTGTGTACTTTGATAACAATAACCTTCTTCCTCTAGTTCTTGTTGGATGGTTTCACAACTAAGATTAGGATGTAAATTTTTTATGACCACTCGAAATGGTCTATCTTCTTGCAGTTGATAGGTGTGATACTGAGCATTTTTTGATTTTAAATATTTAATGGTTTTTCTGTATGAATCTGAATCTACTGGTAGCACCACTGTATTATCAAGGTTAGATTTCAATGTGAATTTTTTTACTCCTACCTCTTTTATGAGATCGTCGCAAAACTGTGCAAAATGATATACTGCTTTTACATATATTGGAGGCGGTTTGGGTGCTACTGATTTTGCTTGCTCATCAGAAGTTTGGCATTGAGTTCCGTCATCGACATTTAAGACTGTGAATGGGTTCACTGACTCAAAACTATTTTGTTGTAATGCACAAGATTCACTCCGTGGAGAAAAAGAGTTTTTCCTGGTTACTTCTGTCCATTCATTAACTAATCTTGTTCTAGGTTCTGAAGTAGATTTTATATTATGGGAAGGTAATTTAACTTCATTAAGTTTTTTAGGAGAGATAACCTTCTTACCTTGTGTTGTGATTTTCAATTTTGATGTCTTTGAGGAAAGTGTCCCTCTAGGTTTGATATTCGCTTTAGTAATGACCATTGCTTGTGAATTCACTTATTAATGGTCTAATACATGTTCAAATCTCGTATCACTTATTAAAACTGTGATAAACGTTTTGATAAAAGTAATGTCCAAAACTAAATTTAATAGGGGCTATCGTTACCCAACACCAAAGGGACGAAACAAGATGTTACTTACCCCAGAAAATCGCTAGGATAAGGGCAGGATAGTTCCAAATATTTAGTAAAGATTTTTCACAAAACTTTTAGCACTAGATATTTAACAGCTGTCCGAAATATAATTAAAATATTGTTTCAGATAAAATTGGTAAAAATTAAAATGGCAAAGTGTAAGCGAAGTTACAATTTTTTTTTATAATGAAGATCTGGTGCGCCCATCACACAACATTCACTTAAAACTGTTTTGAGCAGAAACTATTTTTTGTCAAAATTGATTTATTGCAAAAAGTCATTTTTTGAGCCATTGAAATTCATTTTTTTAGGCGTTAAACATTTACGTAAAAAAATCTGAATTTCATTCAAATTTGTCATCGGAAAAAGTCATTAAAACGATAAAAATAATCCAAATCCAACTATATTTAAAAATTAAAATCACTAAGTGCGCAGTGCTGTGATTCTACAGATTATTTTATTTTTCATATTTATTATTATTTATGAAATTTACAATTTTAGTTAATATTCAAAGAAAATTATATGTAGCAACAAATCCTAGAATTTTATGATTAATTCATGAACACACTTCCAATTTTATGTGAAAATTTTATTACGTTTCCAGCAACAAATATAAAGCGATGAGTTCATCTCACTAATTCATATCTTTAAATACAAATAAAGTAAAAATAAAATGTAACATATTTAGTTGTTTTTTTAAACATATTTTCAAATATCACTATACACACACAAAAAAAAATTGACCATATATATTATTACTCGTAATTTTTGTACTTAATATAAATTCCCGAGACTTTTTTTTTGTTGGAACCATCGCCCCCATCGTCTCCCTTCCACGAAGAATACCAGAATAGAAAGTCTGCATCTATGATCCTAGGCCTACAGGCCTTTCTGTACACTGTTTATTTATGGGTTGTTAAAGGTAATAACAAGTAGATACATTTAATGGACGGTAAGGGTTGGTACGAAAGTCGGAACGATACCCTGGAAATTCCAGGGGAGAATACGGGTACACGACAGACTTAAAATGAAGCTAGGGAAGGAGCAAGGGTAGTCAAATTTGGATTCTTATCTTTCCGGATCTGCCGTTCAGTGATAAATAAAGTATTGATAAAGAACACTCTATGAGATTGATAGCTAAACTGAGTATTTATTTGTATTTAAAGGGTTGAGTCAATAAGTTTTATATTTGCTGCCGGAAATGTAATAAAATCTTATAAGACTGTTCATGAATTAATCATAAAATCGTAGGATATGTTGCTACATTTAATTATCTTTGAATATTAACAAACATTTCTATAACAGGAACATAGGGCGTGGTTAAATTCTTACGTATATACTTTTGGCCTTTGCTTAGCCATCTAGTCGAATTTTACAATTATCTTAATTTAATTTAGATTACATAATTTATTTATTCGTGTAGATTACGTGTTATTGATTTTGATTTTATTTTTGTTCATCGAAATATTGAGGGAGGTGAAACGATACTCTCTCCTCTTCTAGATATTTATTGAGGAGGGAGATGAGCAATCTCTCTCCTCAATTAACTAACATTATTCCAAATTTATTTTGAAAACTACAATACTTTACATTGTAGGATAGCGAAATCAGACGAGACTCAAAATTAATATTCATTTAATAAATAAGAATATTCATTCATAAGGCTGTGTGAAAACATTTCCATTCACTTCTATAAAATTAAGCTTATTCATTTTAATAAATGTGAAGACAGGCATATTCACTGTTACAAGTGTAAATACAGCCTTGATTATGAATTATGAATACTTATATTTATATTTACTGCTGGGAATACGCATCATCGGTATTAATATTTCTTTTTACGAATATAAATATATTCATAAATATTCAGATGTGTCATAAATATCATTAGCATTCTTATTTATATTTTTGAATATAAATATGCCCATATCTGCTGCTGATACTATATTGACTAATTCTTGCTTTTCATCTAGCTTTGAGCCAAATCGAACGAGCAGTTTCTGTAATATCGGCATACCTTAGAAAATACATTTGTATAAAAGTCAATAAGCTGCATCTTTGCTAATAATCCGATTTCGAAGATATATATATATATATATATATATATATATATATATATATATATATATATATATATTTTTTTTTTTTTACAGATGTTAGAAACCTTTTAAATTATCATGGGTCTAATCATCCGTAAATCGTATACTTTTTAAATTATGCACAAATAATTTTTTTTCTTCATAAATTTTACTCTTACGTTTCTGGGAAAAGTGATTATCACCTCAATGTGAAAATAATCTTTATAATAAATTTTAAAAAAAATTATTTATTTATGTGTTTCGATCGAAATACAAAGTGGTCAATTTAGATAATTTACAGTGGTTTCCAGTTATGAACTCCAAGTTTCGATAATGCATATGTAATAGGTAATTATAATAAATAATAGTTAAGTAATAAGTAATTCCCACCGGAAGACCAAATAGTTATATTTGGATACTATATTTATATGGTATTTAAATTTTCTGTGGAAACATTTATTTTGCATTAAAATATGTACACAAGGACAATACTTTAAAGTTTTTTTATGATTATACATTGACTTATACGTCTTTATATTCGTTTAAAGTTATGAAAAAATCCTTTTCAACAAACTAATTAGTCACAGACATAGTTAGGCATTTAAAAACTTCGGAGAGTGTTGGATGTAAGCTATATATAACTATATAACAAAATTTAATTTTACTAACACTTTTTTTATTGGAAATTTTATAGTTTTAAATATTTGGTACTTTTAAATTTATTATTAAATTTCATCTGATGTAATATAAATACTTTGTAAGGGCTAAAATGACCCGCAAGAGGTTAAGGAGTCTCCAATTGTTATAAATAAAAAAATATATATTAGATATGTATTATATCTAAAATCCTCAGTTTTCCATTGATATGTTATACATGTTGACTTTTATGTTCAGAAATTTGTTTTCATTCTGGAAAACATTTTTCCTTTTTATCTCCTGTGGTTTAATCATAATATTATATTATAGTTTTTATTGAGTAGTTTTTTTATTCATACTAACAATCACAGGCTAATTGTTATCATTAATTGTTTCAAATAATCAAAATTGGTGGTACTTTAGAGAAAGACATTTAAAAAATAAGACATTTAAGCCCTGTTCGTTTATTTTAATGAGGATACGATCTAGCGGATATTAAAGGAAATTTTATTTTACAATGACGTAAACGTGTTTAATTAAATTTATTAGAGCCGTTTTCGAAAAAAAAAATGTGAAAAATGTGTCAAATCGATGATATAAAGCACCAATTCTGGCTTGTTGATTTACCTACCATAAATTATTAATATCAGTTTCGTAACAAATATAATTTATGAGCTTTACTATTTACACACAACAGACCACTTTGCGTTATTTGTTTTTAAAACGTATATTTCTGTTAAAAACTCGGATTCAAAATTTATCTGAATCACAATACTTATTCTTAATGTATATTTCAGTGGAAGTAATGATATGAATTTTATTTAAACAATTAAAACAACCATAGGCTCTTATTGAAAATTGAATTATGTATTTCAGTGCTTTATTTCAGATGAAATTTTAAGCATCAGCAAATATTTAGAGTTGAAAAGTAATAGAACTTGAGCCTAGGAGCAAAGGTTGTCTTGAGCATTGAGATGCCTATACCTAAGCCGCTCAACTTTACTGTAGAATGAAAGGTACTACATTAATTTATCCTGGTCTTGGAGAAGCAGCGGTACTGTGCGCCATTAATTTGAAGCCTGAGTGACAGCTTGTGGATCTTTGCCAGTTATATAAGTGATTCAGAGACCGAAATATTACCAATATTATGCTAAAAGGGTTGGTAGGAAACCCCTTTAAAGGATTGCTGGTTATTACTTCGAACACCATTTCAAGAAACTTGTACACCCATGGACATTCGATGTTCATAGTTTATTTCTTATCCGGATATTAGAAAAAAAAGTCACCTTATAGGATCAGTCTCAATTCTTCTTTATATTTATTTAAATAATTATCTATATTTCAAACTCTATGATTTATCGTTTAGGAATCAAATCTGAAGGAAAAACTGTTTTTGAGTATTGCGTTTTCAAAGATGCCGAACGTAATTTTATAAAATCTCTACAGTCCACTTAAGAATCAACTCACAATCCCTGAAAAGTTTATCAAAGTGAATTAACGTAGAAATATTTTATGACCTTCACGTGCAGTCAGCAAATGAATAAGAGTTTAAATCAAATTTTCGGTTAACAGTCTAAAATATTTTAACAACTTATAACTATAATATAAATATAACTTCCCTTCCAGTGCCGACAATAGAGATTCGGTGCCCCCGGGCAATTACGTCATCTCTCCCCTCCTAAAAAAAAACTAAATTTATTACTTAAGCAGTTTTATATATGTAATATTTGAATTTTATTTCATTCAATATTTCCCTAACACAGTTGCTTTATTGATAGACTAAAATTATTTGTTTTAAGACGTTGTGTACTTTTTTAAAATTTATAACAAGTGGCGAGAGTTCCTTAAAATCGACCAACGCCACAAACGGGCGCCCCTCTAGGTTGGCGCCCCAGGGTGATTGCCCATCCTAAGGCCGGCACTGTCTTCTTCCCATATTACCTCTGCCTAACACATTTCACAGTCATCATATATTTGACAATTATGTTAATTAATTATAAATGTAAAATACTATAATTATAAAATTTATACTTGACTGTTAAACTCAGTGCTTTACTATTATTCTCAAAATTTCTTTCAATTTTGGACCGATTATAAGGAGCCCTTTTGTAATATATGCTTGTCAAGGAAAATA